ATTTTTTATTGTTATAGGCTAACCTAAACTTCATCGTTGAATAAAAATTGAAAATGCATGTAAGTACCAAATTCCAATATCACACGCAAAATAATTAATGTATTTATATTGTTCTATTCAATACCATTGATTATGATACTGATATTTTCTTCTACTTCTACGGTTTATAATCATATTTTGTCTGATTGCATATTATAATTTTATTAACTTATTTTGTTTATTTCTTAAATTAATTTTTATCATTATTATTTTTTGTCATGTATACAGTATAATGGTATCTTTGTAGTACAGCTATAAATATATTTAAAGTCCACGAGTTGTAGCTTGTTACATTTATCATAAACATATTTTTATTGTTATAACATAATCTTCATTGACGAATAAAAATAAAATTTTCATAGAAGTAAACAATTAGAAAAATATCAAACTCGAATGATTTTTAAAATATTCTTTGGTTTAAATCATTTTGAAAAATTGTATTACTGAAATTTCTCTTTTTAATTTTTCAAAATAAAAATTGTAGTTGACTTTATAATAATAAAAAAAAAGTACACTATAGTCAATATCAATAAAATAATTATTTAAAAAATTAATTTTGACCTCACACTTTGCTTATATACTTTTTATTGATTTCTTACAAGGATATATAATTTTATCACGGCATTCAAAATGAATCATACTTCGCTTACAATTTGAATAAAAAGCAGAACAATCACTTCGATAAAGGAAAACAATTATCATAAATTACGTCATGATAATAATTAATACACATTATGGTGTAGTTAAGTTGATAAATGACGTTTATTCATCAGTTTGATTGAAATCTTCGCTATTACTCATCGATGTAATGACAAGTTTTGATACCTGGCTATTGTTGGCGTTTCATTACTAAAGCTAGTATGATTTATAAATAGAATCTGATCTTTTCATTGTCCACCTTTGACGAAAATTTAAATAACCTACACGATGAAGGCTGATAGACACTTTACATGGCCAACAAATAACAAAAGACTTTCCATTCATTCTTTATAAATAGCTTAAAAATTAATTTTAAACAATCTCAATATGCGTTTTGAGGTTTGAGCAATTTTATGTAATAAGTTTCATTTATATATATATTTATGAATTGAGCTATTTATTATTTTTTTTCTATATCATACCTATCCATCGCATAAAGACAGTAAAATTATTTTGAAGCTAAGAAACTACACACATAAAATTATAATAGTGTTTCATTATGAAAAACCGTTACAGTAATTAAATAAAAAAATCGATCTACAGTAAAATATTTACCGGGAATCGAACAGTTTTTATGACAAAAATATCGATTATTATAACCACGGCTTTAGAAATAATAATAACAATTTTGTGGAAAGAATGATAAATAAAAAAGAATGAGCAATTTTATTAGGTTTGTGGCAATTTCCAAAAATTATTTTCCGAGATGGGGGTTCGCCGGAAGTATTTACTAATTGAATTTCAATGTATAGGGGCTGGCACACCTGCGATTCCAGGTGTAACAACCTAACCCACCCGATAAGCATACCCGTATAACCTACAATGTAATCAGTTCCCTGCTTGATATCGATAGAAAATTCTAATCAGCTGGAATGAAGCAAAAACAAAATTAACAGCTTGCCAGTTAATTACACAACACAAATCATTATAAAATTTGTTCTATAAAATAATGAAAACAAAATTAATAGAGGAAAAAAATTGCATAGCTAACACAACTCGAATATAAACTATAAATGTATTTAAAAAAAAAAATTAAATACAATTTTTTATGATTTTAATTTAACAATATTTCGACAAAAACCTCGTTTGAATTCAATTAAAGGATTTTTTTTTATAATATTGTTGCCCCCTGGTATGTCATGATATTATTAAGATGTGCCAAGTTTAGCTGTTTTTTTCTATAATTTTAGGAATTATTTGTATTAAAATTTCTTGGCCTCAAATAAGGTAAGCGCACAATGATGGACACAGCTAACGAATATTTTGTCTTTTTTGGCTTATGCCGCCGTAATTGTTATAGTTAATCCTGCGTTGGATATTTAGAATCTCTAGGGTCTCCTTTGCTATTTGACACTTTAAAATTGAAAAAATATTCAGATATGCAGATATAATCTCCATTTAAAAAAAAAAAACTTCTTACACTAGTGATGGACACCCCGAAATTCAATTGTTCTAGTAATGAAAAGAGGGTCGGTACCAGTAATAGAGATACCTCAGAAAAATTCTAAAATTTTTATTGAACTATAAATATAACGACAAAGATAAGGTAAATTTTCAACTTACTCTTGGCAAAACTATTAGTAGAAAGGTATGAAACACACTGATCTCAAGAGCACTATAGAAACAACAATGATTTTAAAATTTTTTTTTGGTAACTTTGTTTATACAGTTGTCATTGGAGGACATTGTTCTTCGATCTAGAAAAAATCTGCAACCTTTAAATCTATAAGGAAGCTTATTGTTTATATTTAAAGTACAACCTGTCTATCTCTGGGGACCCTGTCCATAAGTTGTTACCAGGTGGAGCTCAACATGAATCAATCTAATAATGTATTTATTTATATATTTAATAATGTATTTAATTAAATTTAGTGCTATTTATCTATTATTCAAAACATCATTAAAATTTTAAAGTTTATAAATTGAAGCTAAGAACATTCCGTATCTCTTTTTCTATTATAGTCTAAATTCAACTACTTTAATATAATATTGTTTTTTTTTTTTTATTCTTCAAATGATTTTTGGCCAAGGGTCACCAAAACATTTAATTTCTTTAGAATTATTTTATTGTTGCCGATGTTTCGACTTTTTGAGCGATTTTCAAGAATAAATTTTAACAATTATAGTTAGACATAGAATATTAAATACGATTTATTCTGTTACTCCAAGTTTTATTTAATTTTGTTATAATCTTGTTTTTCTTTTACTGTATATATGGTATGTTTGTATATCATTCATCCTAAATACTAAATGCCCTTAATTGAGGCAAAATGTATTTTTTCTAAATAAAAAAAAATAATAATAAAAAAAAAAACGTTCAGAGAACATTAAATTATTTCTTAACACTAATTGTTAAATTAATGTGTATACCTAGTTATAAATATCCTAAAATATAATTTTGCTTTTCATACATGGCCCATCAAGTCGAAACATCGGCTGCAATAAAATTATATTATAGAAAACAAATTTTTAGGTGATCCTAGGCCAAAAGTCATTTGAAGAATAAATAACATAAAATATTAGCAAATTAACATTTTTTGTCTAAAAAGAGTTAGAAAAAGGTAATTTTTTGGAACTTTCATTAGAATTTAAAAAAATCAATAAATCAAAGAAGTATGTAATGAATGATCAACGAAATTAACATCTAGTTAATCTACGTCAAACGAACCAACTTTTATTTTAATTTTTTTTTAAATTAAGACATCAATTATATTCAGTGAAATAAAACTATGAAATTTCAAACAATTCTTCTTAAGAATTCTGCCGAGAACCAGTGTACCATTTTCCTTTTCTTAATTTGAGGTCCCGTGGGCATTCATTTGAACGCGCCGCCGAGCTTTGTGGCCGGAAAAGGGGAACCATTCTGCCCTGAAAATATGGAATTTTCCGGCTCATTCGTCCTAGATTAGATTGTCCACAAGATTGAAAGGCAATTTTACCGGTTCGGAAAACCCTTTGAAAATTTCACAAAAGGATGCCTGATGATACTTGACCTTATCGAGCAAACTCCAGGAGCCTTAATTCTTGATGGTTTATTTTTACGGTTCAAGCATTTTATTTTAACTTCCTACTTAATCAAGATATAAGAAGAGGTCGGAATTATTGGAGAATTTTATGCTTGGAATCAACTGTACCCGTAAAGTTTAGATTGCAATTGGAATCAGAATCTATAGCATACATCGATATGCAGTAAAATGTATTGTTTCACCTTTTATAGTAAGCTATTTATACCATAAATAGCCGATGAAGTTTGTATGTTGGGGTATAAAAATATCTGAGATATTGAATTTAATAACGATTTCTAGAACGTTTTGTTTTCTCATACAAAAGGAATTTTAACGACTCCCAACAACTTGTTAAAACCACGTGCTTTACTTAGTTTTCTTCTTGCAAAGATAAGATTCCATTAGGTTAGGACAACAAGTTGCTGACTACCAGGCAGTTGTAGGCAATTTCCGGATGTATCGTTCTAAAAGTAAAAACGATTTTTTTTTTTCAATATCTAAAATATCCAATTTGCTAATTTTAAGTTTACACTTGCGTTGTAATCCTCAATGCTGCTTACTTTGTCACAAATGAAATTATCAATAATGAACTTAATGTTCCATATGTTCCCGATTTGGCTCAATCCAGATACCTATTCTTCCACAATTAGTCCATCTAAATCCACTATTTTCTAATCTTGCATCTTCTTCACTTACTGACAACTCTTTTAGGCGTTTGGAAAGAAAATAGCCTAATTATATAATATAGAAATATCATAGGAATACTATCAATGCGTAGTTTCGTTTCATGTTTGTACATGTCATATTAAAAAATCACAGTTATGTTGTTTTTAGTTAATACAGTAGTAAATTTTAATAAATGATAAAAAAAATATTTGCTTTTTGTATGCTTTTAAACTTCAAGAGATTCGGTTGGCAATGACTATAATTTTCATTTACAATTTTTATATCTTTAAAACCATTGTTTCAAGAACGAAAAATTTAGTTCTTTGAAAATCATGAGACGGATGATATTGAGTTCTCTGAAAAAAAACAAAAAAAAAACAGATAGGCAGATTTATTGTTCATAGGAAAGTGGAGTTCAAACATTTTAATATTTTGGATGATTGTTGTATTCAAATGTGGTATGATATAATATTCAATTCAAAGTTATTGGGTAATTAAGAGTACTGTAGCAAGACATACCGACAGACATTGAATAAGCGAAGTTCACGGAACAGTGCACGGAGGAAGGGAGCGAATATGGCGGAGACCTGATTAACAGCTTGTAGTAACTGGTGAACAGCTGTCACTGCAGCGAGGTAGTAAATTAGGGAAGAGCAGTGAGCTACGAGGATGGGTGGTCGTGACGTCACGGGAGGACTCTCCCTTTTTCCTTTGGGTCACGCCGTCTGTCGTGATTCCATCCTGACCTTTGGGCATAGGCGCTCTATAACCGCCGGAATTTTTTTTTTTTTCTGTGCTGCGGTTGGGCAACTTCTTGCGAAGTGTTCGAAGCTGGCAGGTCAGTTTCCTACGTGAATGGAATTGAGTAATATTATGAGAACTTGAGAAGCTAACGTAGGTGATGGAATGGCCTAGGACCAATCAGCCTCAGAAACACGCTTAATATAAACTAAGATATACAATTGAAACTTTTCTGGAGGTTTTTAATAAAATTCCATTCTTAGGAATTCATATTGTCTAATTTCTTCTTCAAATTTTTCTCCCAAGTTGTTCTATCACATTAAGACTTGGTGAATGAGGTGGAGTTTTTTTTTATAACTTTGGGGCAGTCATAAAGTAGCCCATATTTTAACTAACATTGCAGAGTGTTCGAAGTCATTATCGGGTTAAAAACAAAATTTGTTATAAGCTGAAAATTTTCACTATAAGGTTGAAGATTTCCTACAACAGAAGCCGCCATATAACCCTACGCCAAGAAACAGAACATAAGAAAAGAACATAATAGAGAGAGAATCTCTTTATTATCATAAAATGGTGCTGCCCAATTACATTGGGTTGCTAACAACACAGCACACTTATTAAGCAGACAATTTTTAAAAATAATATACAATTACATAGGATTAACAATATGTATGAACATAGTATACAATATTTTTTATATGTATATATATATATATATATATATATATATATATATATATATATAATTATTTCTTTTTGTATATTTTTTTTTCCTTTTTACTATTGTTGCCCAAAATCGGTCTTGCAAGACCACGACCATGGCCGCCTAACTGTTGCAAGACCAAGACCAGGATTGGTAAAAAAAATCGACTTTTTGAATAAAAATTAAGGCAAAATAATTTCTAATATTTAACAATCTTAGTTACTATATGTAAATAATTGGTATAACCAATATACTTTTGTATTTAACTCCTCTAATTTTTCGGTCAGGCTTCTCCTATATAAAAAATGGCAGTAATATCTCTATAGTAATAAGCTAATAAGTAACTGCAAGACTGTGCCGATACTCTTGCGCAAGACCATGACCATGACCAAGACTGAGTTTGCAAGACCAAGAATCGTCTCGGTCTCGCATTTGGGCAACACTACTTTTTACTATTTCTTTCATACATTTATCATCATTCTATACCCTTTCTCTTCCTTCTCTCCCTTTATACATTTTTCCCACTCCTCATATTCTCTCCTCTCCCTCTTTCTAAAATAGATACCAAAGTACAAGAAAAAAGAACACAATAAAGGAAAAATCACTAGGATGTTTATCGATTACAATAAATTATTATTTTTAATGCAATATAAATTGAAATATTTATTTATTCTATAATTTCTATCTATATCCAGGTGTATCATTTCGACTGTGAGTCACTGGATGTATATATGTATATACTTTGCAATCGGATAGCAATATTAACAAATAAGAATTCATTTCACTCGATAATTTAAGCCAGGATGTCCAGCTTTGCATTATAATTTTCAAACGCAGAATGAGGGAAGCCAGAAATCGATGTGAAACCTCTGAAAGTTTGAAGCGGGAACCCTTACAAGTTAGTGCAGCCCGATACGCAGGCCCGGGGTTTTCCTGTCTTTTTTTTTTTTTATACTACTATCTCCTTCTACTGCAGCAGAGTGCTACTACAGGCAGGCACCTGCACAGGAAAGGGTCTTCATGTATTTGGTAACAAGGATGTATCCAATTATGGTGCAACAATAGTGGCAAAATATAAAGATACCGCCAGGCTAATTTTTATATAAAAAAAAAAAAATGTTTTAATTTATAAAATGAAGAAGTTGTTAATTGTTGGTAAAAAAATATTTATAACTAAAATTTCAGTAATCCGAACAAATAGCTGCATGAAGGAGATTTGGAGAGGATAGCAGGTATGTTCGGATTACAGAGAGTGTTCTAGAAAACTACTTACAATAAGCTTACTACCTACTAGAAACTGGTCATCTATCCCGCTTAATTTAATATAATAGACAAACGCTCTGAACTACCGTGTACTGCAATAACTCAACATGGCAATGTTCAGAGAAAGTTTACGATATTAAGCTACAGAACTGAACTTCCGATTCCCAGAACCGAATTTCCCCATTCACTAAGTTTCCTAGAATCTGCATCTGCTCTTCATTTTAATGCAAATTAGATTATTAATAAAATTATTTACATTGTGTTAAAGAATCGGTATTTCAAAATTTATAATGATACTTTGTATGATGCACATAAGTTAAATGCATAATACATTTAGATTTCAAAAGGTATTTTTATTATAACTATTGTTTTATTTTTTCGTTTACTTATGGTAATAAATATACTATTCATGCTTTTATTTATTATTATTATTAATAAGAAATCTTAACCGAGGCAATTTTTTAAATTTTAAGAGGAAAAACTGTCATTGTAAGAGGAACAAACAAAGAGCTATTTCTTATGGTGCTCTTTATTCCATATCAGAAATAAATATATATATAATACATATATATATATATATATATATATAAAGGTTGTATATCATTGAGGAAGGAAACGGCCAGGAAGGTGATCATAAAAAGACTTGAAAATTGAAATTTTAAGTTAGTTAACAACGTTTTACTATTTCACTATTTTAAATATTTTTATTACCGCCACCCCGGACCATCTCCTTCCTCAATAATTTAATAAGGATATATAATACACTTTATTTTCGGTATTTTCCAACATATCGGATTAATGCAAAAAGTTAATTAGTACATTATTGATGGTGCTAAATTATTTATTCGACCTTATTTATAAATACCAAAACACATTAAGTGCATAAAAATGAGGAAACCCTTTTGTATCCCGAATATAGTAGGACAAAGTGTACAACTTTTTTTTTATAGAACGAAAGTTTATCAAAGTACAACTTAATTTAATTAAATGAAATGCCATTTTGTGTTTTTTTTTTTTTTTTTCAACAAACCGACAATATTATATTAGTCCGTGGTACAGACTCCTTTTTAGCAAATAATTGACATTCGGCTGAAATTTTGTATATAGCTTCATCTCATCGTAACCTACAATTATTTTATTTCCGAAAATTCAAAAATAATCATTTGATCTCCACTTGAATCGTAAGATAACTTTCACACAAAGTAGGGAAAAAAGGGGGCGTTCAAAAATATTGAGCCGTTTCGCGAGACCTATACGCCGAAATATCAAAATAACGAGGTTATATAGACCAAACAGCCCAACAATTTTGTAGGCCACCTTTTTTTATCGATTTTGTGACGAAATTATCTTACGAACCAAGTGTAAAGCAACTGGGTATTTATGAGTTTTTAGTACCGAATTAAATAAACAAAGTTTGTCGACTTCCTGATTGAAAACGCGCCAATTCCGAGAATTTTTGTAAATAAAATATTTGTAGGTTACGAGGAGATGAAGCTATTTACAAAGTTACAGCCGGATGTTAATAATTTGCTAAACAGGGGTCTTTACCACGGACTATATGATTGCTAGTATCTAGATATAATGAAATGTTTTTCTACAACCGAATATTTATTTCGTATTTATGGTAACAATCATGAAAATGATCGAAAGAGTGACCAAAATGTATATCAATACTTAAATCACCTATATTAAAGCAACTGATTCAATATTTACAAATAAAATATCAGCCACTTTTCAAAGAAAAAAACAACTGTATTTTTTAAAATAATAAATTAAACGCAATGTGAAATTAACTTCGAATTTCACAAAGGAGGCATAGAACTAGAAGCAAACAACTCTTTGGCAAGCGGTTGTAAATTCGATTGAACACAATCCCGATAGCCCTCAAAGGGCCTAGCACTGAGGCAGAGTTTGACCAAAGGGCCCCCGCAGCCTGCCATCGCTCCGGGGCACGATCCACCCTCCCCGGGACAGTCCAAAATAAATTAACCAAATGAAATAATGAAGGAGACGAGGGGTGGGAGTAGTATAGCCAATTAGAGGAGGGGGCCAGCGGTTGTGCACAAAGTGCAGGGCAAACAGGAAGGGGCGGATTCCGGATTGGGATCACGTCCCCGGGCCCCATTCGTATTCGGCCAACATCACATCCAGCCTTTTCACAATTACACCTTCCAATCATGGCCACTGTCCTGTCTTTATACTTCCCTTCTTACTAGCCCACCTTCTTCCACCTTCCTCTCCTTCAACCTCTTTATACATATTAGATATATCTTCTCTCCGATTCATATTAGCTATAACTAACTATACATAAAACCAGAATAGAGAATATTATATTCTTAATAAAATATCAAAATTCCACTTATAGAACATAGCATTCTAAACAGTACTTATAGAATAGGAAGTTTACAAAAATCCTATGGTTACTATTTTTACTTGAACCAACATGAAACAAAAAATTTTAATCCACTCATAAATACCATCTATCCTTCCAACATCCTGGATTTATTCCCGAACAAAGAGTGGAAAAATGCTTGATGCAGGTAACGATTTTTTCATACCAAACTAAAAACCGAAAGAAAGAACATAAACAAAGGTTTCTTTATCTTCAAAGGAAAATAAAAGTATCGACTTGAATGACAGGACCGTAAATAAGTTATTCGAACCCTCTTCAGTTTAGAAAATCACTATACTCCGAAATTATGTTTTATTTTGAAAATCATTAAGAAAGCAATTTTTATGGATAATTGTGGCTTGTGACTGTAAACAAGTTAACCTACTTTAGCAATATTAAATGCGAAATAAAAGCGACTTGTTGAGAAACCAGCCATTGACAGTCTTAAAATACTTTAAGTATATACCGTTTCCGATACTACTTCTTAAATATTAAGAACGTGGCATAAAAGGAATCTTGCTAACCAATACTCAAGTTCATATACTTTAAATTATTGTATTTTTTAAAACTTAAAAAAAAAACGATTTAAAAAGTTATAGTTTACTATTACGAAATAAAATAAGCGAAAATTAAAAGTGATTAAGTACTTATTATTTGTGTAAGTGGAAAGGACTTCATTTAGTGAAGTCCATCTCATTAACAGCACTGACGTAAAGCGTCATTGGTTATTGGTTTTGATGGAATGTTGATATTGGAGTAACTTGGTAAATATTTGAGCGATTCCCCTGACCCTTTCTCCTGTTTGTCTGTTTGATTTGATTCCATCACGAAGATATTTCAAGTTTTAAAAAAAATAAAATTTTATATATATATATACACACAATTTCATTTTATGGATTTGAATTTATGAGAAGTAAATGGGGATGCCTACTATTTAAGTTTTAGCAAAAAAACTTAACTTACAGCACAGGAGTTTAGCTCAACGTGGTAGTGAACGGCTATTTATATGCTTCAGGAGGCCTTAATGACATCTGTTTACAACGATAAATATTTGCATCACTTCCAGGTTCATGTTATTATCCGCATACATCATCCCGATTAATGATATATAATATACAAATTATATATAATTTAGGAAGGGAATAAAGAACTTTTTATTAATGGAACGATTAGTCCCTTAGCTATTTCATAAAATAATTGAAATAGTAATCGTGAAATACATTTCTAATAACCGTTATTTTTGAATCAGAGGATATAAATATACACATGTTTATTCAAAAAAGACTTCGTGGACAAAAGAGACCTCTATAAACCAATTCGACCCCTTGATTCAGCCACTGAAGTCTTCCATTAGCCAGGGGAAGCTTCGTCATAGGGTGGCGTCACCAGGGATCCCATCTGCATGCCAACCACCCGTTACCGTCCGCACAAAAGGAAGTGCAATTTGACTCGTAAATCAGGCGGATGATACGATCTGACCCGATTCCTGAGGCACTTCCTGGTCAAAAGGAGTTTAGCTGCATCTGCTTCGAGTGAGGTCGAAAGGTCGATGTTCTGCTCGGGACCCTTTCTGGAAACTAAGTCCGAAGTCCCCAAGTAAGTCCTCCAGTTGGAAGGATCTTTGACAGAAAGTTATTTGCCCATCAATGACGCCCTTATGCCAAATAATTCAAATACGAAACTTAACATCAAGAGAGGAAAGTAAAGAATTCGACCACATTACCGCAAAAATATAAGATATATATGGAACGAGAAGTAACGTGATAAGTTTTTCATGAACATTTGAATCACTAAGCAATAAAAACTCATATAATCTTGAAAAAAATATTAACATCTCTCAAATTCGTAAAATTTGCAACCAAAACTCTTAAAAACAAATAAACCACGCCCCATTTGAGAAGAATCTTAATGTACATTGAGTTGATGGAAAATCGATGACCTCGTTCTAACATCACTTATCGCAGCTCAATATTCAATGCAACGACTCAAGTCATGATTCAGTGTTGTACAAATTGACATTATTAACGTTGGAATGAGAAATAACCGACACAACATCTATACTAATTAAGTTGAACAACACATTGTAGTGTAACATCCAAACGTAAAAAGTTATGTTGTATTCCTTATTTAATAGTTTAAAAAAAATTAGCCAAGTAGTAAGCATTATCATAATGCTATGAATAATGAAATAACAATCAAGGTACCTACTTCATATAATAAATTTCAATTTACATCCTAATTACTGAAATTATGAAGCTTTGTAAGTTAAAAAAAAAATTATTCGGTACTCAAAATCAAAAATATTCATTCCTGTGTTGAACACTAATCAAAACATTTGGTTCATGTCTATCAGCAATAACTTCCAAGTGACGTGTATACCATCCATACTAAGAATAAACTGATGAATTTTTAAAAGAATTATGAGAGTTGGTACCTGAATAGTCCCATACCAATTTCATCAAATTCCATCATAAAGCATACTCTGATAAGCCATTTACCAAAAATGGCTCGTTTCATTAGACCAAAACTTGAAGGAAAGTATAGAATTATTGAAAAATAGTCTAGCATCAATTTCTTCAAATTGCATCCGCTATTTTAGCTTGCGGTTGCACAACCGTATTTTACTATCTTTGCGTTTATTTAAAAAACGGTTAATTCGATTTGGCTCAAAGTTGGAGAAAATTTGGGGAATAATTTACAGATGGTAATTTCTATCAACCATCATTTAACAGTTATAATTAATGCAATTGTTCAAAATATAATAGCAGAGAAATGTGGTAGGCAGAGTCATGTGACATGGAACAATCCCGATTTATTTGACGAACATTTTTTTTTACAGTTTGTTAATAACTCTGCCAATTGATTCAATCCACAACTGGAAGTAACATGAAATTGTATGACAAATGGATCTAGCACGTTATATGCAAACGTTTTATTATGTATTCGGTATACACTCAGCATTAAATAAACACTGCTGTGTAATCAAACAGAATAAACAATTAAGTAATCCGATAGATATAGCGTTGGCAAGAAGAGGCTATCACAGAGTTGATGCGAAAGGTAGAATCTTTAGAATATGATGAGTATGAAACATATCAATCCGAGGGAGCAGTTATAGACAAAAAAAACACAAAGGATTATTAAAGAGCATCGCACACAAATTAGAATTGACCTTTTATATCCTTGACTTCATCAGGAAAACGAAATAAGTCAGACAACGGAATGGAAGAAAACAAACAATTGACAGGGAATTTTCTATTCGTAGAGGATAGTTTGCAAAAGGAAAAAGTTTAGATACAGTCCTAAGAATCTTCATTAGAAGGATTAGAATCGGAATGTTTAGTATTAGCAATTTAAAATGTAAATGAAGGAAAGAAAACCGAATCAGTATTACCCTTCTATCATTGCTGCATTCTTGGCTAAGAGTCCTCTTGTATTTTAATGAGTTCCTCCAAGTACATTTCTTTTTCCGAGATACCTTCAGAAAGTGGAGGGGATGAACAATTTATTCATTCAAATTGAAATTAGACATAAATATTTAAAACGATTGCTCGAATCAGTTTTATAATATTTCGGTTTTAATATTTTTCATTAACACAACAAATTCTGCAGTTTTTAATAAATCATAATTTTTTAAAATATGAATTGGATCCTTATACTATGGTAAGAAATATAGTGGATTTCAGGAATTAGATCAGAATCACCCGCTCACCGCGAATAGCTCTTTTACATGATTTACTCATTCACTGAAAAGAGAAGGTGAATCTTGGTAATATGTTGTAATATAAACTCTTGGTGGAGGTTATGAATCACTGAAAAGAGACCGCTTTGACTCCCCGACACACTAAACTTGTAATTAATAGTGGAGGGCGGTGTTGTGGAGATCGTGATTCAGATCATGAGCTAATACTCTTTTCACCGGAATCATTGACGATACAGAAGGATATCGCAGCATTGGTTTGTGGTAGAGCTGTTCGCGCGTATCCAATAATATTACGTGGCAATTTAGGATGGGCTGTAGTGTAAAATTTATTATTATAAAGAAAAAAAAACAACATAAAATAATAGTGGAAGATGGTCCGAGGTGGCGGTCATAAATTATTCTAAATTCGACACGACTTTGCAGGTCTTCTTAGGATCTTGTTACTTAGCTTACTCTGTTCATATTTTAATGTATTTACTGTTTATAATTTTAATAAGCTTATTAACATTGTTTATAATTTTTTGTCTAAACATTATGTAAGTTCCACAATTCTCTATCTTTTTGTATCTTGTCCGTCTAGCCCTGAAGAAGACCTGCAAAGTCAGGTCGAAACGTTGGATTTTAATAAAAATTGTCTTACCACTATTTAGCCTATTTATGACCGCCACCCCGGACCATCTCCTTCCTTTATAATGCAACGGTCAACTATTAAATATTCAATAAAATAATAGTCTTAGAAAAAATACTTATCATGGTTAATTTCAAATTCAAGATAACAATCATCTTCAACTTTTTAAACAACAGGTGAACACGGGGATATTCATAAACGGTAAATAAGAAAATAAGTAGGCTATGTTAGTTGTATATCGAAATACTTTTCTGAATTGACGAATTTACAAGAACCATTCTCAAGTGTGATTATTTTTAAGAACGGTGTATTTTTTTAAAATTTTTAAAAATAGTAAACTTGTCAGAAATGAGAGATCCCCTCCTAAAAAGCTTTTAAGATTTCAGAGATGAAAAATAGAAAAGGTATCAACAATGGATTTTTATAAAGTTTTGACATTAAGATGTTAGAAATAAA